GCAGAGTGATGGGCCCTGGAACCCTCAGGGAGGGGCCAGTGGACCTGCCGGATGGAGCTGAGCTCACAGAAAGCCTGTTGGTATGAGGTCATACTCTGAACAGCCAGCTCATCCAATGACCAGCTTCTGCATCCACTGGCTGTGTGTGTGTGTGTGTGTGTGTGTGTCTACACTTTAGTTCACCAGTTCTTATTTCCTTTTTAAAAGGGCACTTTCCCCTAGTCAGTGTGGATTAGTTGGTTGGAGCATCGTCCTATACACAGACAGTGAGAGAGAGACAAACATCTCACATTGATGTCTCTCTCTCTCTCTCTCTCTCTTTCTTTCTCTCTCCCTTTCTCTCCTCCTTCTCTAAAAATCAATGGTAAAATATCCTCAGATGAGGATTAACAAAAAAATAAAACAGTAAGTTATTGCCCTAACCGGTTTGGCTCAGTGGATAGAACGTCGGCCTGCGGACTGAAAGATCCCAGGTTTGATTCCGGTCAAGGGCATGTACCTGGGTTGCGGGCACATCCCTAGTGGGAGGTGTGCAGGGGGCAGCTGATTGATGTTTCTCTCTCATCAATGTTTCTAACTCTCTATCCCTCTCCCTTCCTCTGTAAAAAGTCAATACAATATATTTCAAAAAACAAACAAAAAAACCCCAGTAAGTTATTCCTCACTAAGCCTAACTTTTTAAAGCCTGCATTTGGCTTTCAAATTCACATGTGTATGCACACACCTGCTGTATAACTGTTTGTAACGGTGGCACCGTCTGCCATGAAATGCAGGCACCGATTTTATTTGGCCAGTTCCCTGCTGTTGGTGGTTCCCAAGCTTTCGGCATTTGCTTTAATGCCACGAAGCTCTGGGAGGGAAGGGAGGTTGGCCCAGCACCTGCCGGCCCCGCCTGGGCTCCCCCGTGCCGTCCTGCATCCCACCCTGCACGACCGGGAGGTGGGGTTCTCATCTGCTCTACAGAGGGTGCAGCTGAGCTCAGGGGGCAAGTCACAGGTCGGCAAGCAGAGGCCCCAGGACCCCAAACGGGTTCTGCTAAGTGGGAGGCCCACGCTCCTTCCATGCCTCTGAGCCAGCTGTACGCTATGTCCTACTCATCTGCCCCCAGAACATC